GCGTTGGCACGGGTGCTTGTCAGGGCCGGGGGTGGGACTTGGGACTGTCCCCCGCCAGGGTGTGTGTGTGTAAAGAGGGGATCCCCTCTGAGCTCGACATGTTGTCTTCAATTCTTTTCCTATTGGGCCCAGGTGTTCCCCGCGCTTGCGATGGGAGTGGGGGACAGGGACCAGTCACAGGCTGGGCTGGGTTGTCTGTTGTCTCTGTTCATCCGCTGGGACAGCGGCACTGACTGTGGGGCACCAGAAGCAGGTGACCCTGGAGGCACTGTGAGCCAGTGAGCTGGAAGCTCTCTGCTGAACAGCTTCTGCATCCTGGCAAGAGGGCTTGGGGCTTGACTGTGGCCTCTATCTCAGGGGTCAAGAAGAGGCCTACTTTAAGAGCAGACCTCAAGTTAACGGTTTGAGGGTCCCTTTGAGCCTCACCGGAAGTGGATGACCTTAACACCTCAAAGGTGTGAAGGAAGGGCTGGAGTCAGGGACATGAGGCCTAGAGACCAAAGGAACAGCACTGCACTGTCCTGCCCCAGTCAGGCTGCAAAGACACGTGGGGACTCAGTGGCAGCCAGGACCTCGGGGATGGAACACTGAACTGAGACAGGAGGGGGCTGGGTCAGGTGGGGAAGCTGGGGCTTCAGGACCAGCAGGAAGGGGAGAGGGTGAGGGCCAAGTGGAGAGGAAGCAGGCAGATTCACTATGGCCAAATTTGGTTGTGATCCCAAGAAGACCCCTCAATGAGAGAGCCCAGAGTCCCCAACATCTTTGCCTCTTCTGGGGTGGTGCTGGTGGGTAACAGGGCCTCTCTGTAAGTCAGCCTTGTATATACGTGGCCTTGATGATTGGGGAAGCAGTGATAAGGGAGAGGGCTTCTCTGCAGCAGCCTGCTCCAGCCCCAGGGGTTTTGGGGGTCAGCTTCCTAGAGATCCCTGTTAACCAGTGCAATCCCCAGTCCTGACTTTGCTACCTTGGGGGTCTCTTTAAAGAGGCCACCCATTGAGAAGAAGGCACTCACTCCACTTGGATTTGAATACAGTCAAGTTAGAGCTTGGTTCGTGGGCGGCTGTAAACATCAGAACCCCGCTCTCAGTGCCCTGTCTATGCTGGTGGGGATGGCCAGGCCTGGGCTTTGTTGGAGTTGCCATCCTGGAGACATGAGTGACAGGGTCAGGTGGGGTGGGGGAGGCAGACACAGGACAAGCAGGTTCCATCACCAGAGAGATAGGCAGAGACAGCTGCTTGCTGGAGTGGAGGTTGTTAGGGTTAGACACAGTGTAGGAAGGGAAACACCAAGCCCAGGGCAGGGTAGGACGCCCCCTTGTGCTGGGGTAAAGTGTGTGTGAGCCCAAGACCTGTGTCCCTTCCTCCCTAATTGCCTTCTCTCTCCCATCTCCACTCCACTTTATGGCCCCTGAACCTCTCTCTGGTCTTGTTCACATCTCCTTTCTGGGGTCTGGACAAGAAGGGTCTGGAACACTTCACTGGGAGCCATTAGTACCTCATCTGAACTCATCTGACTGCCAAGGGATAGTGCCCTGGGAATGCCACCTGCCCATGATCCTCTCTGATCCCTGACATCTGCCCTCACTGGAGTGGTGGAGAAGTTCTGTGAGATGGGTCCTTCTTTGCCTCTGGGGACAGGCAGGGGACCGAGATGCATGAGGTGGAGGTGCCACACAGGCTCCCTGGAAGCCCACCTAGAGCCCAGCTTCCTGCTCCCGATCAGAGAGATCTGCCAGGGTCTGACGTCAGCCCCTCAGGTGCCCTTCACCTGCCCCCAGCCTTCACCCTGGGAGAGGTGGGGGAGGGGTTAAATAGGGGAAGCCCCTGGGTGTGGAAACTTGGAGTCAGCTGAAGAGGGTAATGTCCGAGATAGAGAGGCCCAAATTGGGGCAGGGTGGGGGCAGAAAAGGGGGTGAATGAGGAGGGGGCTGAGCAGCCTGAGAAGGGTGCTGGGAGGAGGAGTGGGCAGAGGTAGAGTGGACAGCAGAGCCTGCATCCCAGGGACTGTCCAGGTGCCCCCCATGCCAGGAGCAGCGGCGTGACCTTGTCGAGGTCGCTTTTCTCCTTGAGCCGCAGTTGCTTCATCCGTCAAGTGGGGATGAGAGGGCCTGCTCAGGGCGCCCTGCAGAGCACCGTGCGGCCGGGAGCATCCTTTGCAAGGCGCCATTCCTAGCCCGCTCTGGTACCTGCAGCGCCCGCAGCCGGCGATGCCCTGGGCGCCCGCCTGGCTCCAGTTCC